CAAGAATCCCACTAGTCAGTTTCAACATTCCCATCTTCACACTGTTGGATGTCTCTTCGCATACCAAGCTCATATCTCTAAACTGTTCGATCATCTCTAACTCTTGAACCATAAGCATTGACATATGCAAAGATTTCCTACTCAAAGCATCAACTACTACATTTGCTTTACCAGGATGGCAACTTAAACCAAAATCATAATCCTTCAACAATTCGAGCCATCTTCTCTGCCTCATGTTTAACTCCTTCTGATCAAATAAGTATTTTAAACTCTTATGACCACTGAACACTTCAAATTTAGAGCCAAAAAGATAATGTCTCCAAATTTTTAGCATAAACACCACAACCGACAATTCTAAGTCATGTGTAGAATAGTTCCTCTCATGAACTTTGAGTTGTCTAGAAGCATAAGCAACAACTTGCTCATTCAGCATTAGCACACCACTAAGTACCATCTTAGACGCATTCATAATACACTATAAATGACTCACTCAGATTAGCAAAAACCAATACCGGAGCAGTTGTCAATCTTTTCTTTAGTTCTACAAAAATTTCTTCACATGCAACATCCCATACTTGAAATGATGAACGATTATCCTTTCGATAGAACATCAATCACTTTACACACCATTAAGCTAATAAGACAATTCTATCCCGTCCAACACGATCTCGTCTACTATCAACAAGAGATTAAGGGTGATCAGTTTCTCAATTTGTCAATAGGTAGCCGACAATCATGATGGCGCATAAATCATCGTTACTAAACTGGAATACCGTTTCTTTAGAACTTATGCTCAAAGTTACCTAAAGCACCATGGTCCAATTAATATCTCCTCAAACCACGATCTACACCTTGACAACTTAGCATAAAGTCTCTTCCTTTCCAACATTGTAATTCAAATCACAACGTTCGACATTCCCTTATTCTTACTTAGATTAACTCATAATGTCCTCAATAAACACCGCAACAAACTAACCCAAATATTTGTAATGCCTACACAAGTTCTAAAATTTTCCCCCTAACTATCCCCACCCTTCATCCAAATCTGAAGGTAACCCTCCTTAATTTGATTATACTATAGACATACTCGCCTAACAGTTGCTCCATCAAATTGTCAATCCTTTTGAAGTGGATATTTGATCTCAATCATTACCTTACTCAATGGTCAGTAATCCACACACGGCTTCATTCAATTGTTGTCACAAACATGCAAACCTCTAAGCCTCATATCCCAAGGGTTATCCTACTTTCTTAGCAGATACAAACACCAGTTCTCTACTGTCACTGAACTCAGATCCACACTCTGGAGGCAAGTCGCAAATATCTTTAGGAAAAACATCAAGAATCACACAACACTGGCATATCACTAGCCGTCACATTGCTCTCTATTCTCCGAGAAGAAAATATCAAAAACACTTGATCATTCTCTCTAAAGACATCCCAACTTGACCTGTAGACAAAATCACGAATCTGTACTCTCTTCAGTTTCCAGAAACAACATAGCTCCAACAATACTTTCACTCTTTGTAACTCACCAGTGTAATGCACCAACTCCCATACCTGAAATATCCCATAGAAGAAAAATCTTTTCTCCCACTTGTTTCAAACCAACCCTTGCAGATAAATAGTTAGAAAATAAGCAAGTACCGATAATGTTTCAAACACGTCGCACACTAAGGAACAAACAACGTTAAACAACCTGGACGGATAGACCGACCTGCTCTGATACCACTAATGTAACACCCTTCTAAACCCCCACAAAATATTCATAATTATTTAAAATGATATCAGAGTAATACAACAAAAGGGCGTTACATTTTATTCGTGAAATAATCATACGTGCTAGTCTTACTCCGTAACACGGGTTTTCAAAATTATTCATGACATATCCATTATTAAGGTTTCATATACTTGCAGCAGAATAATAGTTCAAACAAGTTCATTAAAACACTTCATAATGCCCCATGATTCATGGTTCACAATTCAACATAATTTAAACTCCATGGAAACAATTTAAACGTCATAACAAAACAAGAACAAAAATAGTTTTCAAAACAAAGCGTTCCCCGTCCCCGATGTTACATATCAGAGCAAGATCTTCTAGACTCAACGGAAATAAAACACACACTCCAAGCTATTCTTATAAGCCTTTAAGGACTACTCCTGATCACCTGCACGTTACTCACGCAGAGGCAACATTCAAGCAGAAAGTGTGAGTTCATCACAATCATTATATAAGATAATAGTAATGGACATAGCAAAATAAACCAAAAGTATCACAACATAAACTCGACATTGTTATATTCCAAGTACCTCAACAATCATACAAATTTAACAACACAATACAACACCATCAATTTAAGAATCATGCAATGCCACATAAGATGTAGTGTAAGGACATAGACTCATGTATGGTACAAATTAATTTGATGGACACTGGGCCATCATCCTCCAAAGACCCCAATCATATGATCGATTCCCACTTGGAATCAAAGCAAATCATAGACATCCCAAATCCATACAATGAGATTGAGACCAAATCACTAGACTAACATCATAAATCATCAAAATGGACCAAAGTTGTCCAATGAATGCATGATGCGCAACAATAATATAAATGACCACAACTAGTCATACACATCATCATTCATGTATTCACCAACATCATCATATAAACCTCATCATATGTACTCATATAAGCAGAACATCATCATCATATAAAACAGAATCATCATATTAACAACATATCATCATTATGAACCAAGGATTATCATAAAATCGTCATATCATCATCATACTTCATTATCACAAAACAACATAACAATTCAACACGGGGAAACTAATTCTATCCTAACTTGGATACTAGAATTATCCTTCTTATTCTTCATTTTACTCCTTATAAATATAGTTTATCACATTAGTTATTCAATGCTTCGAACGACACCTCAAACGGAACCCGAAAACTCAAGTTACGACCTTTATAAAAATCCGTCAAAAATTAGATTGCTTGAGTCGACACATGCCCCTTTGAGTCGACGAATAGGTATTTTGTCTGCCCCGGGTATGCTCAGGTCGATCCAATGAGTCGACGCATACTGAGTCTTGAACCTGCATGAGTCGAAGCATGACCTCTTTGAGTCGACACAAGATGTTTTGTGCTGAATTTTTTTGCGATTTCACTACCTTATAGGTCCTAAAACATCATCTAATCATAGGTAATCATCATCTATTATCATCCTATATTTCTACATCAATTATACATCATTTGAGCATCATTATTCATCTCTAATCTATCAATTCTCCATCAAACAACATCGAATTACCATCTATGAAACCTAAGGCAAACCCTACCTCCATCTACCACTTAAATCAAATATAATAATCAGATAAACACCCCTTACCTTATTGTTTCGAGTGATTGATTATGTTCTTCGTGCCTCTTACGATGATTCTCTCCAAAGCCTTCGTGCCCTAGCCTCTCTTCTCCAACTTCCACGATTGGTTGTGAGAATAACACCTATCTCTTCTCTGTTATCACAAAGGACCCCCTAATATCTTCCTCAATTGCTCTCACTTAGTCAATCTCTATTTACCATCACGTCCTCGCTCTTCCTACTAATTACCAAAAACCACTCTAATTAAAATAACCCTTTAAATAATTATTCCTATTATTATATTCTCAATAATAATCCAAATAATTACTAAATAATTATTTAACCATTCTAATACTTCTAATCATCATAATTCACATCATGCACAACCTCATACCAACACATGACACATATAATCATATAAAACATCAATTATTCACAAATACTCATAATAATTCATTAAATAAATAACTTCTAAAAATTGAGGTGTTACATCAACAAATTTTCATTTACGCTCTCGTAATAAAAAAATAACTTTTTTAAATATTATAAATTGCCACATGACATTTTAAAAATTAAATAATATTTTAAAAAAATCCACGTGAACAACCACATAGGATAAAAAAAATATTTTGAGTTGAAATAGTGAGAGCTAAACTCATGGAACCTAGACATTATAAGAGGAGAATTTAAAAAATATAACAAGAGGATAAACCAAATATTATTTACATTGTATGAGCTGTTATATATTTAATCTTTTTAATATTTTTTTTTGCTTTTTGTACTCTAATTCTTAAGAAAATGAGATTCTATTAATTTAGAGCTCGTGAATCGAAATACAAACATTGACCAAATATTATTATCTACTAAAAATCGAATTCAATATTATTTAAATATCATTTATTTATAGGAGCGCTTTTATTTTAATAGACATAAAGAAATGCTCTAATAAAAACTTAATAAATTAAAAAAAAAAGAATATAATAAAAATGCAATACATAAAAAAAAAAAAATAGAGAATGAATCAAAACGAAAACTCAATTATAAATTTAAAACTCTACTTATTGATACGTGATACTATAAGATTTTAATCATTCACGTAGGTGTTACACATACCAGTTATTATCAATAAGAGATCATACGAAGACAACCCTTCATAAAAGAGTGTGTTCAACTCCTATATTAAATGTGAAAATATTGATGGTAAGTTGATAAAAATATGTCAAACCTCTTTGAATTTTAAAGTATTTAAATAATTAATTCATCTAAAATTTCTATTATGAAAAACGTAGAAAAGGAAGAAAAGAAAAGTTATGTCAATTATATGAATGGCAATAGGATGCAAGAGTGGCCCGATTGAACCAATAAAGCAAACTAATAAATAATTTAATTAAAAAAAAAGGTAATAAAATAAAGCTGTGTGAGTCCCAAAAAAAGCAACAACATAACACAATAATCATACATAGCATCATCCATTCCCTTCCCTTGGCACCATAGAAAAACAAACAAGTTCTCTTTCACTATCACCATCTTCTGGAAATTCACACAACAACAAGATCTGAATCGTTTCAAAAACACACACAATCATACGAACTACACAAACAAAAACACTCTCTGTTTTTTAATGTGATGGGTGGTGTTACTTCATCAATGGCAGCAAAATTTGCATTCTTTCCACCAAACCCACCATCATACAACCTCATCAAAGACGAACTAACTTCTCTTCTTCTCATCACTCCTTTCCCTCACCGTGAAAACGTTGAGATTCTTAAGCTTCCCACGCGTCGTGGAACTGAGATTGTTGCGGTTTATGTTCGTCACCCAATGGCTACTTCTACTCTCCTGTACTCTCATGGAAACGCCGCTGATCTCGGGCAGATGTATGAGCTTTTCATTGAGCTTAGCATCCACTTGCGCGTTAATCTCATCGGGTGGGTTTCTCTCTCTTTTTTGGAACTTTTCTTTTCAACTCAAGTTCTTTTGCTTTTTCGTTTCTGGGTTTTTGTTTCTTTGTTTAGAGTGACAAATGAGGAGGATTCATGGGTGATTTGAAAGTTTTAAACTTTAACTGAAATGCTTTGATTGGATAATCAACTTAATTAAACGCTTATATATAAGCTATTTTTATTAGGTGCTTAATTAAATCAAATTATTTTTGGGTGTTTTGTTATTGATTATTTATGTATATCAGTACTGAATTGAATCATACGGAGTCTGTGGTAAAATGAATTGTGTTGTTGGATTTCATGAATACGGGATTTTAGCTGTTTACTTGGCTGATATTTTTTTGGTCTAGACCTTAATTTCACCGTTAAAGGTGAATAATTAGGATGTCGCAGGTTTGAACTCGCACTTCTGTAATCGGATGTCCTTACAACTACCAATTGATGTTGTTTACTGAGCTTGTATTACTAACCCTAAACCTGTTGTTAATTTTTCAAGTGCATGATAATTTGTATATTGTTCTTAATTTTGAGCGCATCTATAATTTGGTTTTCTGTTCAAGTTTAGTATGTTTATGACACATTAATTAATTGCTACATAAAAGGGGTAACTTGTTTACTGAAATTGATCTAATTTTTTGACATTTAAGTATGATTTAGAAGCATGCTTAGGAGTAAAACATGGTAGTTTTTCTTACTCTTAAGTTATAATTTGTTGCAGGTATGATTATTCTGGGTATGGACAATCATCGGGAAAGGTTTGTGTCTTAATAACAATATGAATTGCGTGTTCAAGTTGCATCGTGTGATACATAAATCTGATCAATTAACATTGTTTTGAATGAGCTGTAGCCAAGTGAGCAGAATACATATTCAGATATTGAGGCTGTATACAAGTGTCTAGGAGAAAGTTATGGCGCTAAGCAGGAAGATATAATCCTTTACGGACAATCTGTTGGAAGTGGTCCGACTTTGGAAATTGCGACTCGATTGCCTCAATTACGAGCTGTTGTTTTGCACAGTCCAATACTTTCTGGCTTAAGGGTCATGTATCCAGTAAAACGCTCATACTGGTTTGACATATATAAGGTATCATTATTGTTTATCATGCAGAATATCAATAAAGTTGCTGAATCTAATGAGATGTCGTTTTGTGTTCATATATACAGAATATCGACAAAATTCCACTAGTTAATTGTCCGGTTCTCATAGTTCATGTAAGTATGCTTCAAATATGTTTGTTATGCTATGTAAACTGCAACTGTATTTTAGTTTCATGGACATTGCTTTATATCATTTGTAGGGTACTTCAGACGAAGTTGTAGATTGTTCCCACGGTAAGCAACTCTGGGAACTTTGTAAAGAGAAATATGAACCGTTGTGGCTCAAAGGAGGTAACCACTGCGATTTGGAGCTCTTTCCCGAGTACATTAGGCATCTGAAGAAGTTCATAACAACAATTGAGAAGTCTCCATCGCAACGATACAGTTTCCGAAGGAGTACAGACCAGCAGTTTGAGCAGCCTCGAAAGAGTACAGATATTTTCGAAGTGAGTAGAAAAAGCACTGATCGTAGAGAAAAGCCAAGGAAGAGCACAGACAAACCAGAGAAAGTCAAAAACTTGTCTTCTAGTAATGGTGGTGATATGTTGGAGAAATTAAGAATGACGTTTGATCATAAGGAGAGATCTCGAAGAAGTGTTGATTGTCCTGAGAAGTCTCGAAAAAGCGTTGATCATCAATTAGAGAAAGGAAGGAAGAGTGTTGACCGACTCGACAGAATAAGAACCGGTTAATTTTGTTGTATTCAAATTATATTCGTGCACACGGTATTGGTCTTTTTTGTTATTTTTTATTTATATATTGGTCTACTGGTTGTTTAGTATACTATACTTTGGCTTATGTCAGATATGGTAACTATTGGCATTGAGAAAAGGTTTGATGTTACAATGGATGCATTTTTCATTCAGATCCTATACACTCTTTCTGTGTGTTTAACATTTTCTCAAAAATGGTAAATATAGTTAATGGAGAGATTCAAATGGTAAATATACAGCTATTTATGAGCTTCAAGTATGTAATAAGAAGCATGAAAGAGCTTCAACAAACCAAAGAATTGATAGAATGAAATAATGATTACAATATGTGTAGAATGCACTTTATACAGTGATTCTTAGGTAACTAACATAGCCAACTAGAAGCTAATTATAACTAACTAATAATTACCTTAATCACTATCAAAATAATTCTAACAAATATCCAACTTAATCACTATCAAAATAATTCTAACAAATATCCAATTTTATCTAACAGAAACGAAGCCGAGTTGTAACAACCTTAAGGCTTCCGTGCGGATGATGATGATTGATGCAGAACTACAGCGCGCTTTTTCTATGGTGGGGGATGTTATTGTTTAACTCAACTATGGCTTTTGGTGGAAGGAAACCTGAGCTGATTTCATAAACTGCTTTGAAGAGAGGAAACATATCTTCCCATCCGCGAGTGACCAGAACCTCGTGAACCTCTTTTGCAGTTAATACACCCTTCAACAATCAAGAGAGTTTGATGAATGTGGACTCAGAAATCATTTACATAAATACTGTTCAGATTTTGATCAATGCAAATTGACTCTATTCATTTGTGATTCCTTATCCTCTTTGAATTTATCAGAATTATTTTGAAATATACACATTTGAATTTATCAGTAGGTTTAATGTATATTACCTGCAATTTCTGGCCTTTAAGCATCTGTTCTTCAAGTTCTTTGAAAGAGCTATAGGGAAAAGAAACACAAAGATAGTTACATCAACTGTGGTACAACCAGAATCAAGCAAATCGATCTCTATTCAACCATCTAGTTCAAATCGAAAAATCAAACCTCTTTCCCCCATTTAGTGCAAAAGCCTCAGCAACTTTCCTATTTCTTCCACCCACTGCCACAATAAGTCATTATCTTAGTCAAACCAAGAAAACCAATGAGAAAAAATAGGATAAACTAAATCATTTCCCTTACTGCATGTTGTGATAAGATCAGCTACACCACAGCTCTCAAATAAGGTACTGTCTTTAACAGATGGAAACAACAACTTTGAAAATGCTAGCATCTCTTTCAGACCAATTCTCATGATTGCAGCCTAAACATAGTAAGATCATGGTTTTAAAAAAACCCTTAAGCACACAAATGCAGCCACAATCGCGGCTGCAATGCTGTTACAAAGACTTTCAAAACTGTTATATTGCAAACTGCAATTCAAACCTGTTATACTTACTTTTGTGTTATTTCCCATCTTCAATCCGTCAATTAAACCTGCTGCTACAGCCACTATATTTTTCAGTGTTCCACACATTTCAACACCTTCAACATCCTGAACCTATATTAAACAATAAAGCAAAAATCATAAACATAAAGTGCATTTCAGCATTTCAATCAATATAACCAATTTTGCATTCAACTAACTTAACTCTTTAAATATGTAACTATCATGAAAAGGATAAGCTACACTACTCACAGATGTCACACTAAAATAAGGAGTGTTGAACAACTGAACCCATATCTTCGCAGCATCTTTGTCACGACGGTATCCAACAGTAGCTTCGCTAAATTCCTCCTTCGCAATCTGTTAAAAAAAATTGTAGAATTAAACAACCAATGAATATATGATATAAGGTTCTTTTCTTACATTAAAAAAGTTTATAGATAGAAAATTGTAGCTACCTCATCTGCTATATTGGCTCCCATTAAGACAGAACAATTGATTCCCAATTGATTGGAGATTAAAGTAGAGATCAATGATGGACCTTCCCTATTCACCTCCATCCCTTTAACAAGTGAAATCCCCTCTACATCTTTCCTTATTTTTCCTTGAAGTCTTTTGCATACTCCTTCCATGAATTGATGCGGTGTTACAAATACCAACAAGTTTGCATTTTTCACTGCATAATAATTATTAACAATTTAGAAACAGAGTCGTCTTTGAGGGCGTACAAGATGGCCTATAGCACAGGGTCTCACATTTTTTCATGATTAAGCTATGACAAAAAAGGTCTCCGTACATATCTTTCACAGTTAATTTACGATTAAATAGGATCACTTAAAAAATTTCACGATTTAACTGAAGCTAACTTCAACTTCTTACCCAGAGCCTCTTAAGAGTTTGAGACAATTCTTTTCAGAATATATAAGATTGAAGAAAGGGAAGAGTTGAATTGATATAAACATACCAGCATTTGTAAGGTCTGGATCTGCAACTACATTTTTACCAAGTTTCACTCCTGGGAGATACTTAACATTTTCCTGTCATGCATGAAGAAACAGTTATTATTATGTAGTTGGAAGACGCTGACTACGTAAATTATTATCGATGTCGACGTGTAAGTGTCGGTGTCATGTTTCCATGCTTCGTAACATGATAGTAGTTAATATTTATTGAAGAAACATATATTGTACATGCAATTGGAATGAAATATGCATGGCTAGTCCTTACATTGGTTTGGTTGATGACATCTGAGAGCTTCTTCCCATTTGGTAAAGTTTCTTCATATACCCACATTCTAACTTCATCTGATTATTATATATTCAAGCATGCTATTAAAATATGAAAAAAATGAATGAAGGACAATGAATTGAGATTTCAAGAAAAGGTATACCATTGAAGGAACTGAGTGTGATGGTGTTAGAAGCAATAAGCTTTGCGGCAACGCTGCCCCAATTACCACTACCAACAATGGTGACATTATTCATGATGATGTTTGTTAATTATTATTCCTGATTTCAAGCACAAGCTATAGAGAGGAACAAGAATGTGGCAGAAAAGAGAAATAGAATTTGTTGTCAGTAATTAAGATCATACACGTTTCATGAGAAACCGTGTTAAATGCGCTGGTTTACTATACACTAGAGACTCAACCTGATTTCGTGGTTTGTAATTAACACACATGGTTATTCCTAATCTAAATTTATTTATTATTATTCGTTTCAGCTTTGTAAAGTATGTGCATTCAAATGCATCACAAACCAAGTTTCTCTCTCTCTTTTTTTTTTCTTTCAAATTATTTATCTTTTAGAATATTAAATCGGCCAGCATGATCACAGATAAGTTATGATAATTATATCATACTATACTATAATTTAATTGAGTGTTTAGACAACAATCTTAAAATTTATTTCCTTATTAAATTTTTTATCATAGGTTTGAAGTGACTTAAAAATCAACAAGAAAAATTGTATTTGAAATTTAATGGAAAACGACGCTAAGGATAAATGATTTGGATATTACTCAAATTCGATTTTTGGTGGAAATAAAGTTTAATCAGTGAATATTATGTATGAGTATAATTTTAATCATTATTTAATTTAGAAAAATGTTATGTAAATTTTCTTAATTTTATTTTATAGAGTTCATATAATTTTATTCATTATATAATCATTATTTTATATTAATTATATGAACACTATACAATTTTATTTTATAGAGTTTATATAATTTTATAGAGTTTATATAATTATATAATTTTATTTACATAATTATAGAGTTTATATAATTATACAAACTCTACAAAATAAATTAAAAAAATGTACATAGTATTTTTTTAAATTAAATCATGATTAAAATTATACCAATAAATTTTTTATTATATTTTAAATTAATTAATGAGTAAAATAAAACTAATAATATATTATAAAATAAACATATTACAAGTCAAACTTATCAAATAAAATAAAATAATACTAATATTAAAGTTTAAAATAAACATATTTAAATTGAACATTAAAAAAATATAAATTATACCCAAGTTAAAATATAAAATAAGAAAATTATTCTTTTTTAATTATACCCAACGTTCTTCAACCCGAAAGGCATCACTTTGTAAAATAATTTTCCTTAGAGTGTGATAAACGTTGTTTTTTCCATATTCTCAAAAGTCATCCTAATTTGATTGTATCCGGAAAATCCATCCATGAATGAGAACACTTTGAATTTTGTTGTGCTATCGACCAACATATCAATATGAGGTAATGAAATCATCTTTTGGACTTGCTTTATTTAAATCTCTATAGCCAAAATCTCTATAGCCAAAACACATGTGGACTTTTCTGTCTTTCTTTGGTACTGGAACAATATTGGAAATCCACTGAGGGTACATTGATGTCACAAGAAAACCAGCATCAATCTGCTTCAAAACCTCTTCTTTAATCTTCACTACCATGTCAGGATAAGTTCAACAATATCGGTGTCCAAACCAGCCATGTCTTGGTAAGACCTCTTCTTTAATTTTGGCTTTAGCGGAAAATAATGTTCCATAATATCGGTGTCCAAACAAAGCATGTCTTGGTAAGACCAAGAAAATATATCCACATACTCTTTCAGCAACTCAATCAACCTTCTCTTCACATAGGGATGAAGTGGTGCCCCAATCTTGACTTCTTTCAAATCTTCTTCTGAACCCAAGTTAATCGTCTCCAACGACTCTTTATACGGCTGAATGGTATTTTCCTCGCACTCAAGCAACCGTGAAATCTCTTCTGGGATTTCATCATATTCTTCTTCTTCAACCATATACACAGGATATTCAAAGTTGGAAGAGGGTGCAGGATCATTGCATTCAACGTGTTTTTTAATTAATCTGCACATATGATTTATGATTGATTTTAGAAACCGACACATGTAATAAGTGATTATGCAGAATTATTTACAATTATTATTTATTTCAAAAGATTTTTATGATTACCATTTTCTAAGGAAAACAGAAAATAAAGACACAACTTAGAAATAAAAAACAACTCTTATTGATGATC